AGAGAAAAGAACAGCAAGCAGTGCCATAGTCACAGGATGGAAAACTAGGCAGAACTTCTAAAAAGAGCAACTCATACATGAATCTCAAAACAATGTGCCCAGGGAGCACAGAGCACAGAAGAGAACTTCTGAGGGAGGACAGACGTGGGGGGGTTAGGGAGGGACATGGAGGGGAGGGACTCAAAGGTGATGGAGATATTGTACTTTTAAAGAAAGCAACATACTGCACAAGTGTAGGTCATGGGAAGTTTTGTACTTTACGAATGTTAATGACATTCTTTATCTGTGATAAATATTTAACAATGTTATCCAAAATAGTAAATACAATAAATTGACTTCAAATATGTTTGTGTTAAAGACAATTTTTAAAAGGTTATGTTCTAGCTTATAAAAGAAGACCAGGAAGACCCCATCTTATCTGTGTCTGACATCAGCCCAATACCCTTATCCAAGGTAGGAAATGAGAATGTCCCACCTGGCAGGACACTGATTCCTGCAGAAGTGTGATCTCATCCATTAGCCTCAGCAGGTCCTGGAACTGATCATTCTGGTAGTCAAAGCGCTCCCCAAATGTGATGGAACAAATAATATTGGATACCGCATTCTTGATTTTGATGTTGGGGTCGAAAGGCTGTCCTGGAGGGAGAGAAGAATTGATGTCTTTCTCTTTTCTCTGAGGGTCTACCCTACATGACATATGACACACTGAGTACAGAATCATCACTGAGACTGTGGCCCCAGCACCCTCCACAGGGTCTGACCTACAGCAAGTACCCAGTCAGTGCCTCTAAGTCAAACTGACCACCAGGATTTAAAATCAATAATGTGTTCTATACCCGACTTTTTGTGTCTAATTCTCCAGCTCCATGAGGGCAGGTCATGGTTAGTTGTTCACTGTTAACTCCTCAGAACCCTACACAGTGCTGGGCACAGGGCAGGCACGTGGGCACTTATTAAGCATCTGGTCGGTGAAGGAATGAGCCACAGTCTCCTGCACCTGTCCTATGACACACTCACCGTCCTCCTCTCCTATTGCCTGGGTGAGGTAGCGGGCCTCTTCCTGAATGCGTTCCTCTAAGCTCTTCTTTCCTAAACCAAAGTTCTTCAGTGTCATCAGGGCAAATCTTCTTTGTTCCTTCCATACCTGACCATTGGACATGATCAATCCTGGGGAAAAGAAAGCCAGCATTATGAAAAGAAACCCAACACATGCCGTGGGGATGTGTGTTAGATGGGAGGAAGGAGGAGGGCTTTAAGGCACTTGAATCTATCCAGAGAAATAATCCCAAAACTGTGGGTATAATGGCTAGTGTTTACTGATTGCTTGAAATGCCAGACACATTTGTATTTTTAATGCAATGGGTAATTTAGTACTCACAGAATCTCCCTGACCTAGGTTCTACCATACTGCCAACATCCTGCCCACAATTTTGTTAATGAGAAAACTGAGACACAATGGATAAAAGCAAACTCTGCAAGGACACAGAGTTAGTAAGCAGCTGAACAGGTTTTCAAATTCAGGCGGCCCCACTCCAAGCCAACAATTTGATTACGTATCATCTAAGTATACTTCAGTGTTTCTTTTGCTACATACTACAATGCACTTACGGATTAGACAAAATCCATACTCATAAGGAGTCAAGGCTCTAATCGAAGCAGAAATTTAAAAAAGATCAGTGAATCACTCAAGAAACCAAGGAAGTGTGAAGAGTCAGTGGAGAAAGAACAACACAGGAAAGGAAACAAAAAACGTCTTGGTGTGTTCCATACACCATCATTCATTTCGTAACACAACTGAGGCCACACTCCTTTCAGTCTTCACATCCAGAGCACCCTTCAGTCCCTTTTACTGTCTGGCTTTGGCCTCCACCCTCTCCATGAAATGACCCCGCTTGCTGTCAAATCCAGGATTCCTTTGACCTCATCTGGATATGTCAGCAGCCTGAGACACTTTTCTCTTGAAACACTCTCTTCCAGTGGTGCTCAGGACCCCTCACTCTCCAGATTTTCCTCCTAATTCTCTGACCACAGAGAACTTACCATGTTTTTGTTAATTCATCTAATTCTATCAAATTTCAAAATGATGCAGTTCTTCAAGATTCATGATCTTCAGGCCTCTTCTATTCCTAACCTAGACTCCATTTCTAAGAAAATCTCATTAACTCCTAAATTTTAAATGATGTCTACTGATAGTGAGCAACTATTTCTTCCTCAGCTCCAGGCGTATATACAAGTGTCTGCTTGACTCTGCTGATTCAAAGGGTTTCAAGCTCAGTGTATTCATGACTGAATTCCTTATTTGCTTCACACCACTCCCCCGCCAGGCCAACCCCCACCTTGTCTTTCCCAAAATGTTCCTTCTTCCCTTTATCTGCCCACTTGGGTATCCACCTGAATACCTCATTCTCCCTCCATTTAGGTCATCATGTCTTATTGGATTTACCTTCAGAAATCTTAAATCCATGTATGTTCACAGCCACTATCCTGGTCTAATCTACTCTACTTTCAATTATTGCTACCTTCCTATTCCAAGCTACCACATTTTCTAATCCAAAATGCCACAATAGTCTCTTACTCCCTTTATTCCATCCTGACATTGCAGCCTAGCTAAGTCTTTAAAATGTACAATGTGAATATGATGATTCCTTCCTCTACTTAAACCATTCAAGTTTCCATTTTTGTTTGGATTAGAACAACATCGTTAACAAGAACATGCATGAAGGGTCCTGGCCAAATGCAGCAGCTTCATCTCCATTTAATCCCTGTGCTGCCACACTGGCCCCCTTTCAGTTCCCCAAGTTCACCTCCCTCCTTCCCTCCTCAGAGGCTTTTCATATTCTATTCCTTCTGCCTGACTGCTTCCTACCTGCATTAACTGTCATTTACATACATTAGTTTTTAGACTCTCAGGACTAGATTAGATACCACTAATGAGTACATGTGCACTTAGCTTCATAACACCAAGACTCTAAATATTAGCATAACTGATACTGTCATTCTGAGTGGAAGTATTTACATAACGATAATGATTTTGGCTGTTCTACTCACTGTTAGTTACATCACTCTTGCCTAACACCAGGTTTTATTTGGCAGATAATACATAGAGTGAGCGATGTACAGGCAATGGATAAAGTAGTTCAAAGAGGAGTTGAGAAGCATTTGAAAAGAATGGTGCTTTTATAGAAGAATAGATTTGGGTTTTCCATTTAGATTTTTAAATCAGTAAGGTATTTAATGATCATTCTAAATGTTCATGCCAAACTGCTCTAACACAGACTCAAAGGCTGGATATACCTTGCAGGGCTGAGCTTTAATATTAAATCATAAGGAGTTAGAGGAAAGAGGAGCCACAATATCAGCAGAAGGATGCAGATCCACATCCGTTTTCCTAGGGGAAGAGATGTCAGTGGGAAAGCAGAAAGAGAGACTGAGACCACATTTCCTCTTCCTCTTCTTATAAGACACATCATGTAATTGAATGATGTGAACACTGATTTATCAAAGCATCCAGACTGAGTTCATGCAGGTCACAGAGATTCTCTCAAATCCATGACTTTGTGGCTGACCATGCCATGTTGCCTGAGGCAGTGCCTTCAACAGGGAAATGTGGGCACACAGCTTTCTTCAGGGGCATGAATATTATGATGAGCCTGGTTCCTGGAATTTTGGAGAATTATAGTCACAGAGGCACTTCCACAGACCACAAGAATATCAACCATATGCATCTTACATTAGTTCACACACTTACCTTTGTTCTTAAAGACACGTTCTATGAAAGGAGTTACGGGGCGGTTCGCAAAGTTTTGGCCCTGGTGCACAAAGGCTTCTTTGATTAAGGGCAATCCAGTTATAACAACGGAGGAAAAGTCACCAACTTCCAGCCTAAAAACATTCCCATATTTCTTCACAAACTGGAAAGTAGCAAAACAGTCACAGTTGAATATGCACATCTGTGTGTCAAGGAATGAAGGGTGTGTGTGTATAGCTTGTACAGAGGGGAGTCTGTGTGTGCATGTGTGTGTGTGCACCACGGTCAGACAGGAATGTTTCTACCTTTTCCCATTTCCCTCCTGTGAACTAGATGTGGATTCAGTTTACTACAGGACAAAAACTTTCCTTATAGTCATTCATTTATATGTTCAACCTATTAACCAGAGTGAGCCTGTGCCATTTGTCCAAAGAACCAGTCATGAAGATACAGCTATACTAAGATAGACAAGGTCTCTAACCCCAAGAATCTTAGAATTCTGTGAAAGGAGAGAAGTTAGCACATGTGATCATCAGAGGAGGCTGAGATATGTTTAGTGAACATCTGGTGTAACAAGCATGAACTTCTTAGCAAATCATATCTGTTTAACCATAAGAGAATGTCCCCTCCACTAACACATTCCAGGCAATAGAAAATTCAGTATAATTGGGGCAGGTATGGAGATGACCACACCAGGTCTGGGGCCACATGTAAATTTAACTTTCTGGTTGACCTGCTGTGAGCTCTCAGGAATTTTTCTTCCCTCTTTTTGAGCCTCAGCTTCCCTGCTATAAAGGGAAAAAGTTATTCCTCCTTCACAGGGTTCTGTGAGGGGAATGAGAGCAGCAATATGAAAGGCAGTTTGGTTTCTGGTACCTGGCAGATAGTCACCGGAGACTCTGAGGAATGAATGGACTTCGTGTGCAAAAGGACATAGATGGACATGGTCACGTTGACAGAATGAATGAGAGCACAGGGATGATGCCCTGCAGAAAGGCACTCATGGTCACAGACAACCACATCCACTGGGTGCCATGTTAAGCACTTTCACAGCTGATCTCATTTAACTTCACAACTACCCTATAGAAGTAATAATTTTCTTTGTCTTTCAAAAAAGAAAAATGAGTCACAGGAAAATAACCTTGCCAAAGTGTGAGAGCTATTGTGTATTGGAAGGAAACTGGTCGGAATTACGTAGGCTATAAGGACAAACACGTGAACCTGAGGTGGTGCTAGGACCTTACAGTTACGTGGGGTGAGAGAGTGCAAGTGAGAATGAGACTGAGCAGGGCAGGGAGTTGGATAGAGAGAGAAAGAGAGAGAATGGCAGAGTGTGCAGGTGCGGCACGAGTGTACACAGATGAGCAGGTATGTGCTAGTATGGCTTGGATGGCAGACAATCGTCATTAATCAAAGTCTTCCCTGACCTGTTCCCTCAGAAGACAATTCTATGTAGACCCTGTCCCTGCTCCTATATTAAAGACCAAGCCTGAAATCAGTCCTTCCATTGTCCTTTTGACCCAGAGTTTTCCACCAATGTCTGTTCAAATAAGTCCTGTTTAGATAGAAAGGGCAGAGCCAAGATTCCATCTCAAGCTGATCTGCTAAAAAAAAAAGTGGCAGGAATGTGATTCAAGAGTTTTTACTTCATCTTTGTGCATGCCTGGATGAACATCTAGGGATTTATGAAAAGGATTTCTTGATGAATTTAGAATGTACAATAACAATGTTTCTGGGAGGGCTGAAAATGTCAGGTTAAGTTAGACGAATCCTAACTGACAATGTACACAACCTGGACTCTCAGGTGTTCTTGGAAGAGACTCGGCCCCCCATTAGCATTTCCTGGAATGAATGTCCTCAGAATTCCATCTCTGCCAACTCTCTGACCATGCAAGTTTCTAGTCTGACAGAACAGGATCAAACACTTTTGTGGTGTGAACACCACGTACTGAAGACAGTGACTGTTATATCCTTGAGTACATCAGGCCAGTCACTGCGCCAATGGCTTTACATGGAGGTAAATGTAGGACCCACAGTCACCTTGTAAGACTTTGTAAGGCAGGGAATACTTTTCAATATACAAAAACAAATGAGTCATTTAAAAAGAGAGACTGTAGGGGAACAAAGAAGATTAAAAATTAGATGGTTCAGGGAGCTAAAACAGGTTTAAAATCAGAAATGAAAAATGAAAGATGAAAATTAGTAACATAGGAGCTATAAAAGGCAAGTAAAATGAATGGTAGAGAGGAATTTAATATGAAGGATGAAAATTCCAAATGTAGAATTCACCACTTAAATAATAAATTAGAAGTAATAAATATATTAGAATAAAAAAATTAGACATGTTGAGTCAGTGAGAAAAGAAAATGAAACACAAGATATAAAGTTGTGGAGGATTCCAGTGACTCTAAGGTCTTAAAGACAAAAATCAACAGACAAAAACCATAAAAAGGAAAAAGGGAAAAAAGAAGAGTGTACAGATTCTTACTCCAACTAGCAGTGGGTGAGGGTCCATTTCTCTGAACACCCACCAGTGCTGAGCAGTGGCGGGGCGGGGGGGGGGGTTGCTGGGCACAAGGATGGCTAAGATGCTCTCTCTCACTCACTAATTTGTATTTGAAAATGTCTCACTAATTGTATTTGTACTGCTTTTCTAGTTAAAAAGTATTTCTATCCAATAAAACAAAACTGGAAACCTAAAGACATAATCGAGTAAAGCTTCATAACAGTGGTTCTTACCCTCTTTGATCACAGAATCCTTTAAAAATCTAGTGTTCATCACAGATCTGCTCCCCAGCAAAATCCTGTACACATGAATACAGTTATGCACACAGGAACTTTCAGGGGTTCACCAGTGCCCTGAAGCCCATGAACTCCTGCTAAGATTATTGGTCTTACAGGTAGCTCTTGGAGTTATGCTAGGTTTCTGAGACTGGTCTGTGGACATCAAATTCAAGTTCAATCCAGCAGGTTTTTATGAACTGCTTCAGAGTTGGCAGGCACCTTCTGACATTGCTACCTTATACTTGGGGGCAATACACAGTTCAATACCCTGTAGTGTTTTCCTAAAGTGTCAAAGTCTTTGGGGAAAGGCTGGCTACAGAAAAAGGTAAAGCTTCATGGAAGATGATAAATGTTATAAATCTGTAAAAAGATACGTGAAGCCTTTGAAAGAAGAGACAAATTTCCACTCCAGACATGGGAGAAAAATTCTAATAGGAGCTGGGAATTGGACCAGATCCTAAATGAAGGTCAGGGTGCCAGGGAAAGGACATGCAGTGTGAAGGCAAAGACTTTAGGCTGTGGGAATAGCAGACACAAATGCAAAGGGAGGAAGACGTGGGTGTCCAGGAACGAGTGACCGTCCTGTCTGTCTGGAGTGCGGGGTTCATTAAAGAGCGCTAAGACTGTGGTCGGTCACGGCCGGGTGCTGGGGGCACAGGCCCTTGTGCTGAAGGTGCTCACGATCTCATGGAGCCCTTAGAGAGGTCATCAGTTCTTATTATTACCATTCTGCATGATAATCCCTTGATGGGGGAAACTTAGGAAGCATTTTAGGGGATCAGAGCCTAGTATCCATTCTTGGAAAAAAACACCTGTCATTTGTGAATGGCTGGCAAAGCAATGTGAGCTAGACTGAGGGTGTGCTCATGTCCAGTGAAATACTGTAGGTCTTGTTTTGTTTAAAATCAGAGGATTGAGTTGAAGAGGTGGTGGGAGTGCTGAGGAGCTTGGAGTTTGAAGTCATACGAATACATTTGCCACCAGCTTCTGCTTGTTACTTTCTATGTGACTTTTGTTCAAGTTATTTAACTTCCCTGTGTGTCAGTTTCCAAATCTATTAAATGGGGAATATTATTAGTTCCTATCTTTAAGACAATGGTGATAAATAACCATAAGACTAATTTTAATAAAAATTAATTATTCATATAGACGTATTTGGGAGTGTACTTTAGCAAAGGGACTCTGGTAAGATACGGACAAATGAATAGAGGGAAAGTGGTCAGAAAGGGGATTGATTGAGCCCATGCAGCAATCAGGCCAGACAAACGATGCCTCCTGTGCAACCAACTGGTTTTGAGTTTGTTACTATAAACTTTTGAAGAAAGTGGGGAGTGAAAGTCATGGAAATAAGCATCAACTATCTGTTAGGCACCATGGCTTTAAACTGATATACATAAACTTATTTGATTCTTACAATAACTCTATAAAGAATTCCCAGTTTTCAGAAAAAGAGGCACAGAGATTTAGCTCATAGCTAGTGGGTGTATTGTTGGGTTGTTTCTAACTTGTCTGTATGTCTCATCCTTAAGTGAAAGGATGAAGACAGTCTCTCTCTCTTCTTCTGAGTGGTGGAGCTCCCTACGTGTTAGCTGGTACATGACTCCCCTATCAAAAACCACATTTTCCAGCTTCTATGCCATTGGGACATGAGCAGTGGGGATGAGTGCATCTACCAGGTCATGTCCTTAGATGAAAGGTGCTTCTCACCACCTGCCCCTTTCCCCCTTCAGTGGACTGGAACTCACATATGATGTTGCAAGATGAGAACAAGATTGAAGGAATTGGGGTTTCTGGATGACCTTGTGCTATAAAGCCCCCTTCTATCCTGCACTTCCTGCCTACATCTGAACTCACTGTGACAAAGAAATAAATTTCAATCTCTGTTACATCACTGTATTGTGAGATCTTTTTTTTAACAAATAGTTTAATGTATATCTTCATTAACACATTTATCCACCTTATCTACCATTTCCCCACCTTAGTCTAAAGAGATTTTCTCTCATTTAAATGCTCGTGCAATAAGCCATATAGCTGAGGTAGAGAAAGTTTGGAAAATGTGGTGGGAAAACCAGAAATTTCCCCTTCATACCATATAAACAGGCCAGTTTCTTCACTGCCCACTCACTGTGTTTTAGCTGAGGTCACTTTCCCCATAAAAAAAAATCTCCTGTCCCCTTTACTCCAAGTAGCCACTTGCTTAACATTCCTTTCAAGTTCACCTAAATTTATTTCCACATTCCACCGAGATTATCTCCAGGGTTTCCCATTCACAGTGATCCCATCTAATGTCATCTCATTTAGTTACCAAAAGTTTACACCACACATTTTATCATACACTTCTTGTACTATGACTGTCATGTGATGAGCAATTCATTAAAGTCTGTTGAATAAATTAATCCCTGAATAAATCAATTATCAAATAACCTGTCATAAGATGTCAGGTAGCATAAGCAGAGTAAGGTATATGGGTCAAACAGTCCTGGTTCAAGTCCTTTTTTGGCTATTATCCATATTGAATAACTTGGACAAGTCACTATGTACTTTTTGCTCAGTTTCCTTGGTGGTCAAATGGAAACAATCAGAAGTTTCCTAACTTGTGTGCCTTTTTTGAAGACTAAATGAAAATGAACATATAACTGTATACATGATCTGGAAGATAGGTCATACTTAATGTTTCCAAATTTCTAGAATGTAATTTTAATTACGACTAAGTCATAGCATTTAACTCCATTTGTTGAACTTCATTTTGCTTTAAAGACCAAAATGTAACAATTGCAAACCTACACAAAACAAAACTTAACAGTTCCGATAAAAGAAAAAAATCTTCAGGCCAGAGATAAGACCCTAGACTCAGTTTAATCTCTGGCCAGTTTTATGACTTCAGGCACATAATTTATCCTCTCTAGTCATATCCATATTAGTGGTAAAAACAAGAGCACAGATCAGGTTTCTGATTCCAGACAAGATGGAGTAAAAGCCTCCCACTTTACTCTTCCTACTCATCACTGATTAGCACAGACAAAAAATAATTCTAACAAAATCCTGTTCTGTGTAGCCAAAGGACCTGAAAAAGATTGGTCCACCAGGATGAAACATTTCAGCGTTTCTACCTTACTGTTCTGGAGGCAAATACCATGAAAGAAAAATGTGACCTTCTTCTACTCTAGTTGGGGGGCTACAGCAGTGGAGAATGTGGGTGGAAATTTGACTTCACACAACCTCAGCAACAACAAGGCAATGCCTCTCTCCTGCTAAGTCTTTGAGCTAAATTGGGACTATCACCCCCTGATCTGCACTAAAGAGACTCCTTGGAGTAGTCAGTGGGCAAAATCTGATTTCTACCACACTACAGAAATAAGGAGGCATCCGTTCCCCATGTCTGCTCCATGGGGAGATCTCTAACTTTCATCCTTGCCCCCTGAAGTAAGGAACAGGATATCCTACTGGGAATGGGGCCCAGTCTTCTTTCCCCACCCTCATTCTCTCCAGCCTGCACTGATAAGAATGTGGGCTGGAGTCCTGAGGGGTAGACCAGTATAACACTGCAGAGGTTCTATAAACTAAATGGACATTTGAACCACAATACACAAAAATGAGCATTCTGAACATAAACAGGTTGACCATCTGCCAAAATGTTAGATTTACATATACTCCAGAGGCATCTAACAAAATACACCAAATGGCCAGAAAAGAACCAAGGAAAGCTCAACTTGAATGAGTTGAAACCAATACTGAGAGGATAGAGACACTGGAATTATAGGATAAAGATTTTAAAGCAGCTATTGTAAGTATGTTTCAATAAACAATTATATTCTCAAGAAGTTAAAAAATAGAAAACCTTAGCAATGAAATAGAAAACATACATAAGAACCAAAGAGAAATCTTACAAATAAAACATAAAATAACCGAAACAAAAACTCAATAAAGCAACTCAATGGCAGAGTGTTAATGATAGAAGAATCAGTGAAATTAAAGACATCAATAGAAAGTATCCAATTTGAGCAGCACAGAGAAAAGGGACTGAAAAAGAACAAAAACTCAGCTTCAGGGACTGATGTTAGAATACAAAAGGTCTATCCCCTGTGACATCAGTGCTCAAAAGTACTAAAAGGAAAGGAAAAAAAGAAACCTTGTTGTGAAAAAATATTTGAAGAAATCGTAGTTGGAAATTTCTCAAACGTGGTACCAGAAAACGCCTACAGATCCAAGAAGCTGTGAGTGAATCCAATAAATCCAAAGAATTCAACAGCCACATATCATAATCAAATCTCTGAAAACTGATAACAATGGAAACATCTTGAAATCACACAGAGGAAAATAACTCATTACTCATGGAGAAAAAAAACAACTAAAATTACAGCAGATTCCTTATCAGAAACTAGGGAGACCAGAAAGAAGTAGCACAATATGCTTAAGAATACAAGAAACTGTCAACCCAGAACTCTATATCCAGTAATAATGTACTTGAGACATGAAGGTGAAATAAACACATTTTTAGATGATAGAGAGCTAGGAGAATTTTTTGACTGCAGACCATTTCTAAAGGAATGGCTAAAGAAAGTTCTACAGTTAGGAAAGAAAGAGCAAAAAAGTGTAAATAAATGGGTAGATACAGTAGACGTCTCTTTTTCAATGTAAAAAATTGTGTTTGACAATTAAAAGCAAAATTATAATACTCTCTGATGTAGTTCTCAATGTATGTAGAGATAATATTGAAGAAAGTTTATATAATGGGGAAGGTAAAAGGATATTAAAATCTTAAGGTATCTATATTCCTCCTGAAGTGGTAAACTGTTGATTCTTATTTCAATAAGCTATGTAGCTATAGCATATAATGTTTACAGCAAGCACTTAAAACACAATACAAAGAGATATACTCAAAAACACTATAGATAAATAAAAATAGAATTCATAAAAAATGTTCAAGTGACCCACAGGAAGATACAAAAGAAAGAGAGAAATAAAATACAAAGTAAAAAAAAAAAACAGAAAAGAAAAAGTAAACTGGCAGACTTTGAGGTTAACATATCAATAATTACATTAAATGTAAATAATTTAAATTCATCAATAAAAAAGGCAGAGGTTGGTAGAATTTTTAAAAATGACCCACCTATATGCTATCAACAAGAAACTCATTTCAAATGTCACCATATAAGTTAAGGTTAAAAGTGAATGAATGCAGAAGCATATAACATGTCAATCCTAATGAAAAGAGAGCTGGTGTGCTTGTATTACATCAGACAAAGTAAAGTTCAGGCAAAGAAAATTACCAGAGATTAAGAGGGATATTACATAATAATTAAAGAGCCAATTCACCAAGATAACATAACAATTTAAATGTGTATGCACCATATAAAAGAGCTGCCAAATATATAAATGAAAAGTACCAGAACTGACTAGAGAAGTAGAGGAACCTGTAATTATATTTGGAGACTTCTACATGCCTCTCCTAGTCATCGAGAGAATCGGTAGATAAGAAGTCAGCAAGGGTACAGAAGAAATAAAGAACACAGTCCCCTAATTTTATCTAACTGACATATAGTATAGAACACCTGACAACGGCAGAATACATTTTTCAAGCATGCATGGTGCTGTATCTTAGGTCTTAAAACCAACCTTTACATATTTTTTAAAACTTGAAATCATAAGAATATGTCCTCAGACAACAATGGACTCAAACTGGAAATCATTAACAGGAAAACAAAAACAAAAACAAGAAAATCTCCCAATACTTGGAAATTTAACAACACATTTCTTAAACAAGGGGACAGGTTTAGGAGCCTAGATTTGGAATTCTGTACACTAATTCTGTCATTTAGTAGTAGCAATTGGGTGTTTCTCCTAGAAAGTGACAAACACTTCTCCATTTGAACTTGAGCATACACTATAGGCTTGTGTTTAAATTGCTCCAGGTACTTTCTAGGGAAAGGGGAACTAATATTTGCTGGGCACCTACTATTAGCTGCATTAATATTGACCATTCACTGTTTTATTTAATGTTCACAACTACCTATCACAGTGTTGTCTCTGAGCAAAGGACCAGTGCTGAGAGGCAGGGAAGCAGCTGAAGATTCTTGGGAGAGTGTTGGATGCCGGAGAGAATTTTAAGAAACTCAGAACGGCTAGTTTCCAAGCCCTGATGGGAGATGATCACAAAAAGTGGAAAGAGGCTACAAGCAGGGTTCCAAATGGCTCCCTAGGGAGTCTGAGATTGAGGTGCAACTGGGAAGTAGGGAGAAAATCTAAGCAGAGGAATGACATTTTAAATGATCACTTTAGTGAGAGTGGATTGCAGATGGAGGAGGCTGAAGGTGAGGGGCTCCGTCCTTGTGGGGATCAGAGTAATTAAGTTGAAAGGTGGCGAGGATCTGGTAGTAGTATCACCATTTTACACATGGGAAAAGTAGTCTCCAAGAGGGAAAGTGTAGTGCTTTCCCCCCCAAGGGTATTAGTTTAAAAAGAATAAGGTGATTATAAGTAGTGTGTTCCAATAATCTGTAACATGACACACAATTAAATGACTTGAAGAACATATCATGTCTGGCACACTTAAATAGTAAACAGTTTAGAATATTTCATCCCTAGAAAGGGCTGGTGGAATCATGTCAATTGATGGTGCGGAAAAGAAGTCTTAGATCCTGGTGTATCCTGGTTTCTGCTTTAGCGTCAGAGACCCTACTCACCCCCTGATTCCCCCATCCCCCCATCCCCCCAGCCTCCTACCCTTGGTATCCAGAGTGGCCCTTGTCCTGCAGATCAGGGTCAGGACGCGGCTGGACACCTTCCCCTGCTCTTACCCGCTGAAGCGACAGGTGCACATTCTCAAAATCCAGATGGAAGAGATGTCCTACGAAGGGCAGGCGCAGGGGTCCAGGCGGGTAGTTCTTCGGGTGACGTTTTCTGATGAAATCAGTAAAGAAAAGAAAGGCTATGGCACCCAGCAGGAGGGTGCAGAGACTGAGCACGCCCCAGAGGGCCGCCGCCAGGGAGCCCAAGCACCCAAGCATGGCTTTGTTGTCCTCTTGCTCTTCCTGGTTCTGAACGGTGCTGTCCCCGGGGCCCTGACTGAGGTCCCTGCCCCGCCCACCCCTAGCCCCGCCCCGCCCCGCCCCTAGCCCCGCCTCTGCCCTGTGGTGCCTGGCTCCCAATGGCACCTGTTCTGCCAGACCTTTCAGGGATTTACCCTGGCCTGTCTCCTGTCGCCCCCAAACCAACCAGCCTCCATCTGGTCCTCTCCATCAGTTCTCCCCCACCTAGCCATCCTGTCACACACCTGATGCCAGGAACCAGATTCCTGGGATAACATACTTGGGCTTTGGAAAAGGCCAGGCTAGGAACCTTTTTATTTGCTATTTAGAAAGCCTACCACTCTGAGAACACGGGCCTCTAGGGTTTATGGTTTCACTGCATCTCTGAGAGCACTGCAGACATTTGAGCTCCGTGTTTTCAATGACCCTCTCACCCAATGATTGGAGCTGCACCTGGTGAACTTTAATCAGGAAAACAGCAGCATCTGACACTTCTTGGGCGCTTGCTATATACCAGGCGTTGCTTCAACCTCTTTACATAAATTGCTTAATTCTGGCAAAGTTTTGCAGGTGCTTTCTTCCTTCCATCTTACAGTTGCAGAAAGTGAGACAGAGGATAGGCACTAAATATGTGGTGAGTAAATGAACTCATCCGTCTGCAACACATCTAAAGGACTCCTTGTATTTGTAACTGTTTTGAAGATTAAGAAGCATTACCTCAAAGCTCCTAGCCCTGAGGCTAGTCCTTAAAAGGTGCTTAATGAACTCTGAAGCTGGGTGTCTTAGTCCTTCTCCTTTTTGGCTTGCTTAGTGAGAGCCTTTCTCTGAAGCCCCAAGACAGTGTAGGACCCCAAGTTCCAACCTTCCATGTCACCTTTGTGTGCCTACCTGTGTCTCACCTTATGTGAGATACTCAAAACATGAAACATAGTTCTGGGATAGTATAGCACACACTCAGGTACTTAACATACATAGACAGCCTGCTGAATATCTTGTTTTTAAAGGAAATAAAATAAGACAGCATTGAAGCCTCTTTTCTATCTTCCAAAGTTCAGAGGAAGACACCAGCCAGAGCTGAGGATTTAGTCTTCCACTCCACATTTTCCTTTTTCACTACAGTTGTTATGCACTCATGCAGTGTTTCTAATGTTTATGTAAATCCTCTTTTAAAAAGAATTATCCTAAAACTGATTTTTTTCCTTCGTATTAGTATTTGAGATCTATCTGGGTTGATACATGTGGTTTCTTCCATTCACTGTAACAGCTATGACGTAGTCTACCACTACACCATTCTTTTAATTGGTGTAAAGTTGTCATATAACTTTATGTTATTTTCAGACTTAACACAATGATTCACCTGAGCAAAGTGATCACACAAGGCATCTAGTTAACAACCAATACTATGCATAGTTACAAAAGTTTTTCTGGTGATGAGCAGTTTTAAGATCAACTCTCTTAGCGACTTTAAACTATGCAGTACGCTATTATTAGGTTAGTCACTGTGTTGTAGGTTATATCCTCATGCCTTGCTTATTTCATAACTGGAAGTTTTTACCTTGACCACTTGCATCCATTTGGCCCAACCCCTACCCACCACCTTTGGTAACCACCAGTCTGTTCTTTGTGTCTTTGAGCTCCAAATTACTTTTTGATTTTGTTTTGTTTTGTTTTTTTTAGATTGCACTATAAGTGAAATCATTAAATACTTGTCTTTCTCTGAATTATTTCACTTAGTAGAATGCCTCTGAAGTCCATTCACACTGTTGCAAATGGCAAGAGGCTCACTTGGAGCACCAGTGATGGACTTCTGGGGGTTCACAGAGGCACAACCCCACTAAAGGATTTATAAGGATCCTGTGGTCAGTAGGGAGGAAAGTATATTGTTCTGTGAACCAAGCGAGGAAAAGATCACATGGCTTAGAAAAAAGGTACAGAATTAACCAAAGGCTTCATCTGAAAAACCATAATAGCATTGCAACTACTGTTTAATCTATTATATGCCTAGCACAGTGTCACTTTTTTTAATATATATATTACCCTTATATTTATATGTTTACATACTAATAACTTAACTATAATATATTATAAGATATTTATGTATTTAACATATTTAACCATATATTAAATATGTTACCATGTTACCAGATAGTAACAATGTAACTATATATATATATATATATATACAAAAACATGTGCACATATTTGGTCATTGCAACAATTAAAATGAAGGCTTATCAGATACTTTAAGATAAGTTATGTTGCAGTAACTAACAATCCCAAATCCTAGTGGCTCGCAGCAAAACAGGTTAATTTTCACATCTCATGTTCACCGTGAATCAGCTATGACTCTGCTTCTTGTCTTTGTCTTCTGCGTGTAGGCTGACAGACACTTATATGGGACATCAGTGGTCTCATGGCAGAGAACAAAAAAATATGTTGAACTTTGAGCTGGCTCTTAAGCGCTCAGAAGTGACTCGTGGAACTTTTGTTCTCATTTGACAGGCCAAAGCAAATGACATGGCTATTCCTGTATATATCAGAGTGGTTAGATGTATATATTGGTCCACTGGGAGAAGTATTACAAAGGAAGGCTACAAAGGAGGGACAGGGGATTTTTTAACCCATCTCATAATTCACAGCTGTGTTACATCTTCTATTCTACAGTTCAGGAAATGGTTTCAGGAAAGGAGAGTAGCCCATTTAATTTGCAAGGAGATATAAATAAATGAGAAAACTGGAATTGAAGTCAGGCCAATATAACTCCAAATTCCAGACCCTCATTTCATCTAAATCTCCATGCTGCCCACCCTGAGTCTTTTAATGTTGCTTCATATGGATTAGAGCCCTGTGACATCTTTGGACCCTGGATCTATTTGGCAAACAGAAGCAGCTATTTTGACCCTCACTGTTGTAACAGTCATCAGTGATTCAGTGCCAGCCCCTGAAAGTGACCCTTTTGCATTTGACACTTTATTCTTGCTTTGATTAATTTCTTATTTGTTACAAAAGCAGAGGGAAAGGTTCTTTGATGTAAATAGCAATACAAACAGCCTGCAGTGGATGCACATAAACACAGTGTGACCCAGATACTACAAAGTACCCATCAAGGGACATCAGCCTGTTCTTGAGAAACAAGCATGGGGAAATGGAGTAGGTGGTGCTGTTCCAGAAAGCCAGCTGAGAAATGGAAGGGAAACAGTGAGATAAGATCAAGCCTGCCCTCCTCCAATGTTTTCATGAATATAACAAGCTGTCATCAGGACTGAGATGTAGGTCATTGAAGTGAGGTGGCAAGGATAGAGGAGCAGTGGCAGAAATCAGATTCTGGACAACAGGTGCAATCTGGTACCAACCCACAGCGATTCTACCTTATTTTATTCATTAACTCTCCAGTTACTGAACCTACCACATCCCAGGTATTGTTGTGATGTTAAACAAGGCAGATACTGTTCCACAAGGAATCCTCAAGGAATGTACTAGAAACAATTGCTATGTAATAGTGCATCTCAAAATGTAGTGTCTTAAAACAATGACCATACATTTAACTCAGAAATATGAGGTTGGCAATTTAGACCGAGTTCAGTTGGGCTGCTCTGGTCTCATTTGGGTTCACTCCCGCATACATCCAGCTGCTGCGTTTGCCTGGGTCCAGCTCATCATGGGTGGTCTTAAGCACAGCTCTGGTGACTGGTCAGCTGTCAGCTCAGGCAACGTGACAGAAATGACCGAGCCATGTCATCCAGCACG